GAAGTGATGGAACGTGAATAAAGTCGAAGTATCATAACGAAAAGCTAAGACGACAAAGAACAAACAACAATTTTATTGATTTACAATAATTACAATTTGAGAAATTTGAAAAATTGATTTACTACTATTACAATTTGAGAAATGCCTACCCATACTTAATTAAAAACTAGTCGAGGTGGGTAGGTATAATTAACTTGGGCTTATCACTAGTACTTAAAGGATTTCGAATTGGCAGCAGTTCAGATTACAATAAGAAAACAGTAGTTCAAATTACATTAAATAACAAACAACAAAACAAAAGCATCAGTAAAACAATTAAGCAAACGCTCAATAGACGTCTTCGTCCAGCAATTAAGTAGTGCGCCTGGGATGATATTGACATCGAACAGAGTTAAATTCGACGTTTGAATCAAATGCCGTATTTAAGGCCCAGTTCAAACGTCGAATTTCACATGTGCCAAACTTAACTCCTATTTTAGTCGACTAAAATAGTTAAATACGGCATTTGATTCAAACGTCGAATGTAACTCTGTTCCGTATGATGCACGATCCTCGCAGTAGAGAGCGCTATTTATGCAATAGCGAAAAACAGACCTGAAAAAAATCAGGCCTGTACGGGATTCGAACCACTGACCTCTGCGATGTTAGTGCAGCGCTCTACCAATTGAGCTAACAAGCCAACTGGGAGCAGGCCGTTAAGTTGATTCGAAATAAACCTGTGATGATAAATCAGATACAATGAATATATGAAGATCATATATTTTGAACTGCGGTATTAGGTACGTATGATGCACGGCCCTCGCAGTAGAGAGCGCTATTTATGCAATAGCGAAAAAAGACCTGAAAAAAATCAGGCCTGTACGGGATTCGAACCACTGACCTCTGCGATATTAGTGCAGCGCTCTAACTCTGTTCGTTGTCAATATTCCCAGGTGCACAACTTATTTGCTAGAAGAAGACGTCTATTGGGCATTAGCTTAGTTGCTTTGCTGATGCTTTTGTTTTGTTGCTTGTTTTTGCTTCGTTATCTTAGCTTTTCGTCATGATACATTATGCCACAGATTTTCCTACTTTCCACCCTCGTCGTTTTCAAAAACCGAACACCTCATACAAAAGTAATTACCGCACGTTAAACAACTATATCTTGTCTTTGCAAAGCAAGAACTACAAATTACAAATTTCTTCGTCTCCCGCCATTTTTTATTTATTTAATCACTTTCACCAGTGTGGTGAGGGTCGCACAACAGAGCGAGGCTCCAAATTAAGTGCGCCCAATATCCCACCCATCCCACCCCGCATTAAGTTCGGCACATGTGAAATTCGACGTTTGAACTTTGATGTTGTCAACTGGGACAAACAAACTCAAAGTTTCACTTTCAGTGAAACCTTATAGTATACTCCAAAGTTTCAAATATCGATCATCTGCAATGCATTTAAATACACTGAAATCAAACCATATCTCCTGTTTGAAACTCTTCCAACTTTTTACCGCCCACTTGCGCGAAAACATATCGATATCATCTCTGATCACTTCTGAAGATAAAAGGGTTAAGACCATTGCCCAGAGCGCTCGCTTGAAATATCAACTACTTCAATTGGAGAGAGCGTCGCTGAGTGTTGTTTAGGAGAATTTCATGCTACATCAGCCCATTACTCCACACGAAACAATACGTGTATCAAAAATGGTGCGCTGAAAACATTACAAGTTGATAAATATTAAATAAATATTACAACATTACAAGTTGATAAATACGTCTTCACCATCAGAAAGCTCACCCATTTGCAGAACTCTTTTCTTTAATTTTGTACCCAGTCTTCGATGTTGTTGACAACATCATGGCGCTGTGCTATTTAAGTGATGTTATTTTTCTCAAGTCATTTTAAAGATGTTGATATGATAAAATGTTCTCCTGGATCATGGTAACGCAAAGCAATGTAAAGGGATCGCAACAGCAAAACAGAATAAAGGAAGATACCAGAAGTATCCCAATGAGAACTTTGAGTGCTTATTTGCTCCTTCTAATAAATCGTCGTTAACGCGGGAAATCGCGAGTGATTAGACCGTGATTGGCGTTTGGTTTGCATATGATTGGGCGAAAGGTTGGCCTAACTTTTCTTGACCAATCACAGAGCGGAGTCAAAAGCAAAACCAATGAAGTCCCGCATTTCTACTGACACTCGATCAAAGATTGCTCAACGATTCATAGATGACAGAACACATCCAAATAAGTTCTGATAAAGCAAAATTGGAATAAATCAGTGCTAGTTACGAATGGAGAATAATACCAATAATAACTTGCAAACTTTAAAAGCTTCCCTGAAAGCGTCACAAAAAAGGAGTTGTAAGTTTTTTTTCTTTTAAAAGAAAATTCTTTTCAAGGAATATCATATTCGATTAATTTATCTCTTGTCACGGAAGATAATTGTTTTCATGCAACTGTCAGATTCTAAATTATTAATGCATGACTTGTATTACGTAAGAAGATAAAGTCGTTAAGGCAATTTTTCGTTCAAGCAAAAAAACTTTGTTAAACGTCTTTCTCCTTTCGTGTAAAAAAAATACTGTAACAGTTTATCATTTGTTCAAAAATGGAACTCACGTAAAGGCCCGAATAAAAATATCAACAATCGAAACACATTTGAATTCACGAACAAAGAGAGACACTTGTTTTGTTTTATGTTGATGTTTTTAAAAATTAAAGTAAAGAAAACATTTTCACAAAACGATGGATTTAAACTTTTATTTCAAAGTTCATATTTATATTCTTAAAAAGCTAAGGAAACTGTCAGAAAACCTTGGTGAGATTTTGAAGTAGACAAAGTTTTACTGTTATTATTCAGTATTAGCAGTGGGGTAATTGGTAGTAAAAAGCTTTGTTGATCTTCTCCATGGGTCTTCTGGAATCGTGGAGATTCGTACTGGGTTTCTGTTTGCATAAAAGAAAAAAAGTTAAACATATGCAAATGAGTTGTTTTTCTCAAAACTTTGCTTCGTAATAACGTATTTAGCGCTAAATCGATTTTCCAGTTGACTGCCCTGTCACGTGACATTATCAGAAAGTTAATACGCGAAATTGATCCCGGAAAATCTCGAACCAGTCCTTTCCAGTCCTTTCCGGCTTTAACTGCAATGAACGTTGCGTGAAAAAAGTTATATATATTTTTTATAAGTCAGTGCAGTTCTGTTTAAATCAGATTGAAAATCATATTAGCTCATGCCTTTTTCAATAGGTTTATCTAATGCTACATATTACTTTATCAAAATGATAAAAGGCAGGAACCTTTTGAAAATATCAATGAAATTTCAAGAGGAATCTTAAAACTTTACATGAAACATGGCGCCTTGTTCAATTTCCAATATGCATAAGGCTTTAAGCAACAAAAATAAAACATGTCTTTGTTTGCGTCCTCAAAACGTATCCAAGCAGCAGCTAAAATTTTGAATTTGTATCATAATGAATTAGCAAATTCAATCCACTTATCCGTGCTAAAGAATCAAACACAATAGTTATCTTCGATAGCTTTAAAACATGCTCCTCAGTGTATGATGAATTAGAAAAATATAACATTTATCATGAGGGTTTTCCTCCATTTTGACGTTCGTTTCATTGCTGCAGAATCAGTTTGAGGGTAAGTCATGTCGTTTCCCTCTTTCATTTTCTTTTTTTTTTTGATTTTCCAGTTCAACTGGCCGTTTAATGAAAATAAACACGCTTTGAGGTTGTGTTTTAATCAAAAGAGAATTTAGTTATAACGGACTAGCGAAAAGAACAATGAAATCTATTTATTTCTGTATCTCATTACTCATGCAGATATATGCTTTTTTTTTCAAAAACGGAACTCTCTTTTTTGAGAAAGAGCACATATTTTAAAAAAATTAACAACGTTTAAAAAGCAGTTTCGACTCACTGTAACGAGTTCTTTAAATTGACGCTGTGTCGTCGAAAGAAGGTTGCATGTTTTTGTAGGGATAATCTGTGAAATTCGTACACCAAATCAGCTGCAAAGGTGTCATATTGAAACTCTTGCGTTCAACCTTATCTTTCAGCTACATGTGGCCCATTGTTTCGATGTAGTTTTCACATAATCGCCAGATGGCAGCTAATAAAATTAGCTTTTCGAAAACCACAACATCATTGGTTATTCACGCTATCTGGGAGGAAAACCCACTTGGAGTTGAGCTCCGTAAGCTGGAACAGTGGGTGTGGAAAGCCCAGTGAGGCTCTTCCAAGATCTATAGCCGTATATTTGATTCTTTTCGAGTTAAAATCGTTAATTTCTTAGCTTTTCATGCACACAATACTCCACGAAGGATTGATCATTAATATGGTAAAACACAGACGACTCTGACACGTCTAATTCTCGTAGGCTCTATAATCAGGCGTAAATTAGAGACGACATCAGGCGTTACTCTTGAATAAGACCCAACGTGTAAGGGGTTTGAAAATCATTAGTATGTCACCAATGAACCACTAATTAGAGACGTGAGTCTGTAATCACTCATGGAGTTTACTTGTGCCGTCAGAGTATTGTATGAATTTTCTATGATCAATTACCCCGGCGCCAGGTGCAATTCACAAATGTTACTGGGGATGCCTCCTGGGCTAAGTTTTACCTTTGTCAAACCTTAAAAGCTTCGTACCAACAGCCATTGTCTGTTAACCACTGGGAGAACGTCACGAGCAAGCCGTTTTTCGACGGATTGTGAACCGCAAAAAGAGGAAAAATCACTAACCTTTCACCGATTTATAAAAAGAACCTGGGATTCTTGCGCATGCGCATGAATTAGTTAAAACCCCGTTGATCGTCAGGATGTTTACACTTTTAGAGAAAGAAGAATTTGCCGAGGCACCTAAAGGTGAAGTGATTTTCACCCAGGGTGTCTCTACTGTAATATTTTTCAAACTGTTATCCGATCAGGAAGGCCCCGCATAGTCTGGCCTTTTCAAACATGCAAATTTGAACCAAGGGGGTAATTTTGCAAAATTAGACGAAATTGACGGTCTTAGCTGAGTGTACGGTTTCCAATTATCACCAGATACGGGATAGTTTCCAAGAGAAAGGATGTCAAAAAAGTATGTTTTTGATATGACACTCCACAGTTTCATCTTGGGGAAGCGCTATTGAGGATCAAACGCAGCTAATTTTTGCTTTGTTGGTTAGCTTGTTAGCAGAATGGTGTTTTTTAAAGACCCCATAGATCTTTGTTATCTAACGTGCAGAATTAATGATTAGATAGCACGTGCTTTATTTAACAGGAATTTGCATTGTGAAAGCCATTATGTTCCTTGATTTACTTGTCTTTAAATTTGTGAAACGATGGGTACGGATTTATTTTATTTTTCCCGAGGCGTGCCTAGTCCACGCCATTGTTTACTTGTATTCCTTTTTGTGACCACGTGCGAATTACAAATCCTACAAAACTGGCCTGGCGTTTAAGAGTTTAAAGTTAAACACAGTAAGCCTTCGAAAGCGCAAGAACACCTTAACATACCAACCGCACAATAATTTACGCCTCGGTTAAGCATAAACAGGTTGGAGGGCGTTTATCTGCGCAAATTACATTTAGACTTTAGAAAAAAAGTATTAACAGGTAAGGTTTGATAAATTAATTACTGCGGGTACTTTTTGATCATTTTATGTCTGCAAGAACCTGTTATTCTGTTTTACTTTCCGTAGGAATCGCTTGAAGCTTAAAAAAAATACCAGATCATGGCTGAAACGCTAGTTAAATTTATACGCAACCTATCTATGATTTTTTTGTTTATTTATTGTGAGAGTATGTCATTTCTTTTCTTTCAGCTTGCTTCAGAGATATTTCTTAGCAATGAGCGCTCAGGAATCGAGAAGGGGTCATTTTCAAAGCCAATCACAGGGGAAGAAATTTAGCTCTATAACCTCCAAGAGTTTTATGAAGCAGAGTGGAGTAAAGCAAACAAATGGGAAATCGTTGAACGTCCAGCTGGAAGAGAAAACCTCCAAACTGTTGACAAATGCTATACAAAGTGATTCAAGGGGAACAAAATGGGCGAAAAATCATGGTAATGAATGGCAAGCGAAGCGGAGAACAAGGCCGAGTGGGGTAAGAACAACACGACAAATCAGGCGAAACGAAAGAGAAAGAGGAAGGAAGGCAAGACTAAATGCGGCTTTTCAAGTGCTTCGTTCAGTTGTACCAAGTAACGTGAATTCTTCAGGAGGGGTCAGCGAACGAAAGATGACTCAAGTTGAAATCCTACGTCTGGCTAAAACCTATATTTCGAACCTTACGGAACTACTCGACAAAATCAAAGAGGAAGAGAAGTACTCTCTTCGAGCTTTCAATGCTTAAATACTTTTATTGTTATCGCGATGAGATTCCTGTCATCATTTTGGTAATTTGGGTTTTTGAAACGACTCAAATGCAACGAAAAGCCAGCGATTAGAAATTTAGAAATACAAAATACTAAAGCAAATACATCTCTGGTTAATTTGGTAGTTTCTGAACGACTGCAACGAGAAACCCTTGAGGTTTCATTCTTGGCAATCTAATTAGCATGTTGCGATGTGACAGTTGTATCTCTTTTTTGTAAAGTGACAATGAGACAATATTGTTTAGAGTGTTTTCTCACAGAAAAAACAAGCTGTGATATTTTCCGTTTTGGAGACTTAAACGCTATGTGACCAAGTGCTTTTTTTACACATTATATTACGTATCCCAAGCAAAAAAACTGTCAAAATGAACTACTTGCAAATATTACACGCGAAACGCCAAAAGTGCCATAAATAATTGTGTTCGTCCTTGTATAGTGAATAGGAGTAAACACTTCTTCATAAAGTCAAATGGTTGACAATGACTTTAAAGGACTTCTACAATCTGCTTTTGTTCAATTTCGCTCTAACGAAATTAACTTTAGAAACAAGAAACGAACTGCACTGCCCTAAGGAATCGCATGCTACTTCGCTGAGCTTCGAGTTGGTCTTTCCAGTTGGTCATGTTTTTTATAATTATTCTATTATTCTTTTCAACCGCTTTTGCAGTTAAAAAAAGGTGATCCACAATTTAAAAGTCGCGAACAAAGGCTTGAAATAGATAGGGCAAGTTTGAATGGTAACCGGGTGAAAAGAACGTGCTATTCTAAAGATTCTGTTATTCGTGGTTTTGGCGGTCAATATCAATTTAAGATCATTGACCGATTACTGCCAAAATTGAATGACGAGCTGGAAGCGAATTCACCCGATTAAGCCAAATTTTTACTTTCGCAACGGGTAGAACCAACAAAATATTTTGTTATCGACATAGTTGAAATAATAGTCAACGGGAAACATGAGATTTAAATGAGTTTAACAATGCAGTTGACAGGAATCGCTAGAACTTGTATTTTCAGAAAGCGTTTGTCTTCAACCAAATGTCGCTATCATCTTTTTAAGAGTCTCTCTTATTACTTGACACTTAGTTGTCCCCTCATGAATTAAATCTCAAGTTTCCCTTTTCATAGTTATCTTCTACTAGATTTCGTCGTCAGTGCAATCACATTCTGGATAAGAATATATTGGTTTTAGGCGCTTGAAGATCTACAGACTGAAAACAAAGTTTTGTGCAATAATTCATTTTCAAATTTACGTTAACAATTGTAAATAAAGCTTCAATTAAACTGAAAAAATTGGTGGACTTTTCCTTTCAGCGAATTGATTACGTGGATAATATTCGTAAAAGGGTCTCCGATTAAATTTCATTAACTAAGCTTGGTTATCGGCCAAAAAACATTTAACCAATGAGATTGACGTCTCTAAATTCTTGGTGAATCGATAGGAATTGAAAATTTTCTTTGAGTTGCACTCAAGCGCTTTTCCTGCGCTTATTCAGCGCCGGGTACATGATTTCCCGCTTTAACCTCTCACCTTAGTTACGTATCTTCTCGCGATAATGAGGCGCTGATTGCATGTTTTCCCGCGCTCGACTGGCGCCAGCGTTTAGATTTTTAACAATTTGGTTTCAGTTTACGAGCATCAATTAAGATTGGTACAAACAGAAGAGTTATTTTTTTTTTCAGCTTCTCAGAATTATTGCTGACATGACCTCGCCAATGCACTTACACTCGAAAAAGAAAACATTTAAAAGATATACTAATCTTTTTTTTTCAGTTAACTATGTAAATTGGAGAAGATAGAACGAGGACCTTTGAAACCACTTCTTGTAACGAGAAACGATATTCATCTATGGATTTTCGACTAAAAATAAGTATTATATTTCCCAACCAACACAGTGGCTGCAGTTACAGCGGCAAAAATATCTTTCACCGCAACAACAAGTGCGAGTAGCAAATTGTACACCGTTAAATGGACAAAATGTTTTTTATCGCCAGCGGTAACAGGTTTTGGCCTTTTGTCTAAACCAATTCTTTCAGCCACTGAACTGCATATCAAGAATAGTGATCAGAAAAAGAAATGCTCTGAATTCGCAGTGATTATCTTTTATTATTCAATTGTTATAAGATGTTATCGAAACATTCTTTTCCTTGTGACTAAAAGATGTCATTTTGAGTAACGCGGAAAATTTACTTCGGTTTTTAAGGAAACCAAATGATGCTAGTTTGATAAGATAAAAAAGAGTAAAAAATGGAAGTAATAGACCAAAAGGGCTGCGGATGGCAAAGATCCATGTGGATTAAGATTAAAAACATATCCTGAAAGATGCACAAATCTTGAGGTGTATCAATTTCGTTCTTAATCTCTCTTTTCGCGGAGGAACTGCGATTCTGCTGAATCATGTTTCAGTTTTTCGTTTTCTAAAAATAATGTACTTTTACTTCCGGATAATATTGAGTAGTTTTCACAACCTTAAACGTGATTTATGGTAAAGATGTGCTAATTTAATACGTCTAATTACGTTGCCTTGGTAGAATCGTTTGACACTCCCTAAATTTCAGAAAAAACTCCCACAACTCCGGAAACTTTCCGAAGAAGTTCCGATTACTTTCAAACGTTATCAAAAATGTTTGTGTTATGAATGTTTTGGACTTCAACGTGGCATTTAGTGCCGTTCACTGGTCTATTTTGGATGGAAATATATCGCAAATTAAGGTTCCAGACCAAAAATAGTCCAGAATAGTTTCTTTTTCCACATAGTTGAAATGTCGTGCAAGTCTGCGATCGATGTTTTCAATTCGCAGTCGTGAGGCACACGCATGAATCATGTGAGAGAAAAACTGTTCAAATCAGAAGAAATTCCCTATGATTTCACCCTTTGCCCTTCCCCAAGTTGGAAAGAGAACATTCCTTGAAGTTCATTTTCGATAGTTGTCCATTGTCATCGTCAATGGGTATTCGTTAAAAAAAAGTTGAGTTCCCACAGTTTGTTCCTAAACTTGCAGCCGTGAAATAATGAGAAGTTTTTCAAATATGAGCAGTGTCTCCACCTTACCCCCACCCTCACCCCATGAAATTACACGTTAAAGGGCATATCTGACGTTCTTTGGGATCCCTGTGGCACCATCATCACTGATACTACCGTGTGGACAGCATAAACTCATATGTGTGAACGCAAAGCTCAATAAATGACCTTGATTCAGAAAATTTTTCAATTGAGCGTCGAAATTAATTTAAGATTTCATTGGTTCTGCTCTCCTCTGCGCTGTGATGGGTAGAGAAAAATCGTACCAATCTCTCAACCAATCAGAAACAAAAATGAAACCAGTGGACTGGGTCGCTAGCGTTTTCTCGCGTTTTAGGCAGTCTAGATGTGTTTACTCTGGATTTTGACAGCGAAGGGCCTGGCCCAAAAATTTTCTCACGTGCTTCGCACTTGTGGAGCCTTCAAAAGTCTGCGAAGTCGTAATCATAACCCAATGATGGGGTTGGCCTGGAAATAGTATAATGACGTCACAAATTGGCGACCAAATAAATCCTTCTCATTGAATGCTATCCAGGTTGAGCGGAACAATTAGCTGGATAACCGTTGATACACGGGAGTTCAACATTCAAAGACCACTATATGCCCAAAGTAAAGGATCAATGTTCGTTCTTGAGCAATTGTGCACTTACCCCTTACCTCCCCTTCATTTACCCAACATTAAATCTACATTATTATGAGTTGACTATTATTGATTGAGGGGAGGAGAGGGGCATGTGCGCAGTTGCTCAGATGTTGAAAATATCCGGCTGTGGGTAACGGGCGAAAGGCAGACAAGCATGGCTGTGAAGCGAAGATGGTACTAGATACTTTCTTTCGAAGAAACTCTTCTTTCTCCTATCGCTTGACTTAGAAATATCTTGTTTGCTGGGGAATTGTGTCAGTAGCATCTTTACCATCAGATAAAAGGATATCGAGAAGATCGAAACGCTTCCAAATCAAGAATATCTGTTAGCAAGAGCGTATAAGTAAGAGTAAGGCGAAATTCTTCAAAAGAGAGAGGTCGAAGCGATAGAGCGCTGGACTGATGTGCGGGAGGTAGAGGGTTCGAGCCCCGGCCGGACCAACTTTCAAGGTCTTAAAATGATTGAGAAGAATATGCTGCGTTTCTATAACATCAAGAAATGGTTTAGATATTCATCATTAAGACATCAAATTTTGATTAATATTACTATTATTACTATTACTATGAGTTCAGAAGTTGTCAGGTGCGGAAAAAATTATGGGATGTGAATAACGTGGGAATTACAACCAGCTGTGGAGCAGTACTGTTCAAACAGCTAAAAGCAAGAGAATTGTGGGATGGATCAAGCGTAATGTTGTGTCATGGCTAATTTTTCGTGAGGACAGGCGAAACGCTTGTCTTGTCTCAGAAAAAAATATGAATGCAAACATCGACCGCAGATTTCTCAAACAGCCAGCTAAAAAGAGAATTACCTAAGCTGTCTGGTAGCAAAGGTCTAACATGCATTATCATGCAAAAATACTCATCAATAAGTTTTTTCGTGTCATGCAATTGACAACTGATAACTCACCAGACTATGCTAATTTACAAAGAAAAAAGTTTAAAAGCCAAATGCGAACCAATAACAAACTCTTTCTTTTCGTGTTCTAAGAATATTATGGTACACGCAACGGCAAATAACAGTGACGGAAGATACTCAACAGAGAGGAAGAATTGACACAATTCCTACTCTTATATTGTTAGTACATCACACCCGCACAAACAAAAGTATCAACAAGTTAGTAAAAGTGCCATTAATTGAGTATTAGATCGACAGGTAGTTGGGAATCTTTCTCCTGGATTGCGGCTAAACTCTTGACAAAAGACGGGATGTAAATGATCTCGTTTCGTGATTACCTCTAATTTATTAACCACGTGGCAATGGAAAGAATCAAAACAATAACTCTATCGAAATTAGTGTCGTATTAACTCCCAGGGCGCAAAAACCTCAAATCAATCATTGTCGGGCTTACGTCATTGAACTTTCAAGAGGTTTGTTATTGAAGTAAGGCGTTCTATCAGTGTCCTATTTACAGTGAAATTAAGCACGCCTGTTTCGCGTCCCTTTTAGTAGTAATATGCAAAAGACTTACACAATGTTTTATTGTTTTCATTTATGTTTACTCACTACTCACTCATTCCCCTGAACAATACATCAAAGTTATGCATTGTTTTAGCAAATAAAAGCGGTTGAACTAAGGTTTATGAACTATATTAGAAATGCGTTTTTTCTCTATCTAAAGGAGTTGTATTTTGAGAGAATTTACAATCAAAGAAAACACATCGAAGTTGCCAGTTAAAACAGGCGTCTTATTCTTGTTTTGTGGAAAGACAGCCAGGACTACTTTATCGGTCGTGGGAGGACTTAACTGGCTCACCCACTGTGCATTTTTAAATGACACGCCTGGATGAATAGCATATCTTCTACGATCTTCCTGTATTTCGTTTGCTATATAATTTAAAACATGCCTATTTCTCGCTTGCTTGTGTTGCCAAGATGCGGTCTAACCTGTTTGTTGAGAGATGCGGCCCTCAAAAAGCTAAAGTTAATTTCCATGTTTTCTCTTGTCAACTCTTTAGATAACTTTTCTAGACCTTATTCGAAAATCAGCCGAGAGAGGCTTATAAGATTTCTGTCAGTGCTCGGGAATCTTCGAAAACATAATGTAAACTCTTCGAACAATTTCATCGTTATGAACTGATCCTTAATAAGGCGTCTTGTTTTTCTCGCAATTCAGATGGGAGAGGTTGATAAGCTTTGATAACTGAGATTCTCGTAGCTTTTCCGAGAATTATCTGTCTGCAAAGCTCTTTTGATATTCCTTTTGAATGATCTAATCTTTGTTAAGACTTCGCTTCCTTGGGAAATCTGCTCCGGGGAGCAACAGGCTTGTACGGTTTCCGAAAAATTTCCTAAGAAATAAAATCAGCAGCATAAACAGAAACCTGTTTCCTGGAAAATCAGCCGATGTTAAAATTTTCGGAACTCTTCGTCAGTAGCATGATGACAACTCATCGAACACTTTAATTTGTCGTCGAACCCTTTTTTTTTTTTTTAACTTGTCAAGGCTTTGGTAGAGTCCCAGCTTGTTTTCATCAAACAGAAACAAGTCAGCTTAAAGCATTTTTGATTGCCATGGTAACAACCCCATGAATAAGTCTTTTCGTACTTTACGTTGCTC